TTCTGGTGTGCATGGGGTCGCTATGAGTCGGTTCCGACTCGATGGCACCTGACAACAACAACAACAACAACAACAAGTAGAGTTTATTGCTAGAATGAAAGTTTGAAAATCTATTAATATATTTCACTACAATAGAAGCATCATGCTATCTTAGTCTATGTAATACATGAATTTTATAAAGTCGGCACACATTCTTTATGGAAAACCCAAGTAAGAATAGGAGAGAATTTCTTAATTTAATAAAGGACATCTATCAGAAATAAGGAGCCCTGGTATGGTGCTGTGGGTTTATGCGCCAGACTGCAAAGCCATTTGAACTGCAAGGTTGGTGGTTCAAGCTCATCAGCTGCTCCTCGGAAACCCTATGGGTCGGAATCGACTCAACAGCACTTAACAACAACAACAACATCAGAGATAAATTGCAAACATTTTCTGTTGAAATACTAGAGGCTTCCGTTTAATCTGGGAATAAGACTTCAACCATTCCACACTGTTCTGGAGATTCCAACTGAAATATTCAAAAAAGATAATCAGCTGTGTTCCACAAAGAATTATAATGTCTATCTGGAACAATCCAAGAGATGAAAAAATTAAATTTATTATAAGAGAATTTAAAAAGATGACTTCAATAAACAAAAATCAATACTTACATACTAAGAGAACAGTTTTTTAAAATACGTTTTAGAAGACCTAATTAGTGAAAAATATTGACTATATTATGTACTCCCAGAAGAATGAACAAAAATCTGTGTTGGGAGAATTACAGCTAGAATGTTCCTTAGACTCAAGAATGGTGAGATGTGATGTCGTGTACTTTGGACATGTTATCAGGAGGGACCAGTTCTTGGAAAAGGGCATCATGCTTGGAAAAATGGAGGGTTAGCAAAACAAGAGGAAGACCCCCACACACACACAAGATGGATTAACACAGTGGCAGCAGCAATCGTAAAGATGGCAGAGGAACCGGGCAGTCTTTTTTGTTGTTGTATGTTGGGTCGCTATGAATTAGAAGCAACACAGTGACACCTAAAAATAAAAAGAGCTTTTTCATAGTTGCAACCAAGTGTGTAAAGTAAGCAAGAGTAAACCTAGTAACAACTGTGCCAAACCTATATATATAAACATCCATTAAAAAGTTAATGTATAAACAATTTGTGGTGTATCCATAATGGAATACTAAGTAAATTACTGTCAGTGGGTTCCAATTTACAGTGACCCTGTAGGACAGAGTGGAACTGCTCCATAGGGATTAGGTAACTGCAGTCTTTATGGAAGCTGACGGCCACATCTTTCTCCCAGTGAATTTGAACCACTGTGCCACCAGGGCTCCTAATGGTATCCTTCTCAGCAACAAAAAGGAGTAGACTAATGGTAAATCTCAAAATAATTATGCTGAGTAAATGAAGTCAGACCAAAAAACCACATTGTTTCCATTTATATAACTTTCTGGAAATGCAGGTGAATCTCTAGTGACAGAATTAGGTCAGTGGTTGCCTAGAGACTGAGTGTAACTGTTATTAACTGCTGTTAAGTCATTCCGACTCATAGCCAATTTATGTAGGATTTCTGAGTGACTGGTGGGTTTGCAGTCCTGTGTTTACACTATAGCGCCACACCAGGACTCAGGGTGCATGAAGGAACTTTAGGGAGTAGTGGACCTGTTCACCATCTTGAGTGTGCTCAGATTTGCTTTTTCATCCTTAAGGGTGACGAAGGGTGATAGCTTCAGGGGGTTCTACCAGTCTCTCCCAACCAGTAAGCCTGGTCTTTTTTTTTTTTTTTTTTTTTTTTTTTTTTATTGTAAATTGGGTGATAGTTTACATGGGAGAATGTCAGCTGTACATTCATCCTATTATATTTAGTTTCGTTGCAATGATTACAATCGCC